TTCCTGCTGTGAACTCACCGACCCTCTTCCATTCCAACAGATACAAGAGGTTCACCACTCAAAGAAGAATACGGTTGGCTCTGGGCCTTTGCTGGCTGGTGTCATTCCTGGTGGGATTGACTCCCATGTTTGGCTGGAACGTGAAACTGAACTCAGAGTACCACAAAAATCTCACCTCCCTTTCCTGCCAATTCCGTTCCGTAATGAGGATGGACTACATGGTCTACTTCAGCTTCTTCACTTGGATATTCATTCCCCTGGTTGTCATGTGTGCCATCTACCTTGACATCTTCTATGTCATCCGGAACAAACTCAATCAGAACTTTTCTAACTCCAAAGAGACAGGTGCATTTTACGGACGGGAGTTCAAGACAGCCAAGTCTCTGTTTCTGGTTCTTTTCTTGTTTGCTTTGTCCTGGCTGCCTTTATCCATCATCAATTGTATCATCTACTTTAATGGAAAAGTACCACAAGTTGTGCTCTACTTGGGCATCCTGCTGTCCCATGCTAACTCCATGATGAACCCTATCATCTATGCTTATAAAATAAAGAAGTTCAAGGAAACCTATCTCTTGATCCTCAAATCCTGTGTGATCTGCCAGCCCTCTAATTCCTTGGACTCAAGCACTGAGCAGACTTCTGAGTAGCTATCCATGAAAGATGACTCTCTGTCCCATTACCCTTCAGATTCAGCATGGACAAACACTTGAGGTCCTATCCACCTAGGCCATGGGCTCTCACGTGTTTGATTCCTTCCAGTGATGTGGGAAGCATTTGGCTGGCTGTCTCCAATTTTATCTTCCCTACTGCCCTCTTTCTCTAATTCAATTTTTTTCTTGTCCTTCTTTTCTAATTCAATTTTCTGGGTATCTGACTTGAGGACAATGTTCTATTATTACTACTACCTGTGTTCCTCCTTCCCAAACAGAAGTCGTGGAATCTGAAGGATGCCTCATTGACTTACTGACAAAAGGGTCCCAACTGGGCTGGACATGTACATAATGGTGACTCAGTTCTACTCCATTATGGAACTAAGCAGAGAACCCTGCTCTCAGCAGATACCTGGAGGATGGATGGAATGCAAGGAGTGAACTGAGTTTAAGAGGGACTTAACTTGCTGGATTCACCTGTAAATGTATTTGAGTAAATAAAAGATGATAACTAATTGTTGTGTAGCTCTTTGCTGAGGGTCAGGGTCACTTGGGTCTTGAAGACCCAGCTGGCTCCTCCTGGCACTCAGCCTGCTTCTACGTGATGCCCTGTGGCATGTTTGCCTGTGTAAATTCTAGGACCCTCACCCCTGGCCCCAGAACACCCTGCTGCTTTTTCCAGGGCTGATCAGAACATTTGTCAACTTTATGAACCATTCATCAAGTGTTAGAGAAGAAATGATTCTTAGAGCTGAGTCTTAATCATCTCCTCTGGTATTTTATTATTTAATAGGAATAGCGGGAGTGGGGCAAAAAGAGACACCAGACAGCTATTATTTGTTGAGCACTTTCTATGTACTATTTTGCATGCGTTCTCTCTTTTGGTCCTGACAGTCTTTTAGGTACCACCGTTATTACCATCTCTATTTTGCAGAAGAGAAAACTGAGGCACAGAGGTGTTAAGTAACTTGTCCACAATCACACAGTTAACAAGTATGAGAGCCAGGATTTCAAGGCAGTCCTGCCTTATGGGAGAACCCAAGATTCTTGCTACCTATCCCTAGACATGCAGTGACTTGTCATTTCTACAAAGTCCAAACTCTTAAGTACACCTTATGTACAATTAACAGAAACATGGGTACAAACTATGATTTGTATACTCAAGGATTGCTGGGGGCTTCCCTGGTGGCGCGGTGGTTGAGAGTCCGCCTGCCAATGCAGGGGACACGGGTTCGTGCCCCAGTCCGGGAAGATCCCACATGCAGTGGAGCAGCTGGGCCCGTGAGCCATGGCCGCTGAGCCTGCGCGTCCGGAGCCTGTGCTCCGCAACGGGAGAGGCCACAGCAGTGAGAGGCCCACATACGGAAAAAAAAAAAAGGACTGCTGGCTTTTTTGCCTTAACTGCTGTTGCCAATTGGGACACCAGACAGGGATGGCATTCTAGTCAAGTCATTCGGACATTAGGTGTGGCTCTGGAAGTTTGAGGTGGCATCTCTGATTGGGCTATCCAAACTTGCAGCTGTGGACTCTCACTCCCAAGAAAATAAATATATTAACTTGATGAGAGCAGCAAGATGGGGATTTCAGTTAAACCACATCAAAGAAGATAACTGTACTGAAAATGTTTTTCTAATTAATTCTTAGCCAATCTTGAAAGGTTACCCTGACCCTAATCTTAGGCCAGAGCCTGATAAGCCTATTTATCTTGTTAACGTTTCACTTTAGGGAAATGTCCTTGTGTCTTCTCTTGTCAGCCCAGGAATAATCAACACCATGTGTGATGTTGAAAAACTCGCACATAGCATTTTCTACTAATGCCAAACCAGTTGGTCACCCCACCCACCCACTTCCTGGTGCCATTCACAATCTTATGTTAGAGGCAGAGGACTGCAAGGCACCCCCGCCCTCCATTCCTGGGAGTCCCTGGACGTGGGAGGGGACTTTTGTCCTGACGAATTCCCCATCAACATTTTGGGGGATCTTTTTTCTTTCAAAAGACAAGCGTCCCCCACCTCTAATTTTTTCTTAATGGTATCCCCTCTTTTGATTTCAGCATTTTCCCCCAAATTAATTTTTGTGTTTAGTTAAAATGCCCCTCCAGGACGAGGCCCTGGGTCTACTCTGGGGCATTGGGTGCTCCTGGCACACTGTTTTGCCCACGACTCACCTTTGCCCAGTTGGAGACTTGAGGGAAGTGCTGGTTGGTTCTTGGCCTCTAACCCAGTTGCTATAGCAACATTTGGCATGTGCCCTTTTAGGAAACTTGATTTAAAGGGACCGCTTGCCTCACAAGAAAACAGCAGTCTGTCCTGAGTCATTTGGTGTCATTTGGTGTCATCAGACAAGCTGTAGCTCCAGAGTTTCAGAAAAACTTTTTTTTTTCTCCCTTTCTCCTCCTCCCCTCCTTCTCTCTCTTTTCCTTTCTGACAGTCACTGCTTAGCAAACCCACTGAAGGCTTGTAGGAAGTTGTATTTTGGGGGCTTGAGAGTCAATGAGAATCTTTTGAGCTAGGGGGCTCCACCAGCCCAGAAGAGGCCCTTACAGTGAAATGTCTTTTGGCGTGAACTCAAAAAAGATGAACCAAGACTCACTGGTAAGGAGCTGGGCTGGAAGCGGCGAGATCTACCCTGGTTTCAGGTTTAGAGATTAATGTCACTGGAGTTTCCCTGAGTCTGTCTCCTGGCTAGCTCCCTTCAGCTAAACATTGTCAAAGGTGGATGTTGGGCTTTCATTTTAAAGGAATAAGATAAAGAGACCACCGAGACAAAACTGAGGTATGCTTCCTCCTTCCTCCTCCAGACAGATTCGCTGGAACAAAGGTAGATGCTGAGTAGCTGGGCTTATTTACTCAATTTTTAAAATCAAATCAACAATAGAAATAAGTGAAGACCAACCAAATGAGAACAAACAAACCCTTTTTATTCTGAGCTTTCTATAGCAAAGGAGTCAGCCACTGCCCCTTGCTTTTTGGCAGAGACTTAAAGGCAGGCAGAAGAGTGGGATACTTTTTTTTTTTTTTTTTTTTTTTTGCGATACGTGGGCCTCTCACTGTTGTGGCCTCTCCCGTTGCGGAGCACAGGCTCCGGACGCGCAGGCTCAGCGGCCATGGCTCACGGGACCAGCCGCTCCGCGGCACGTGGGATCTTCCCGGACCGGGGCACGAACCCGCGTCCCCTGCATCGGCAGGCGGACTCTCAACCACTGCGCCACCAGGGAAGCCCTTAGACCACTTCTACAGCCTCAGTCACGCCTCAACAAGTGAATCTTCAAGATTCTAAACCTGCAAAGGCAATGCTCTCGCAACTGTCAGCCTCCCAAGTTCCATCAGCCAGATGGCTGTGAGGGGACAGAGGTGCCAAGAGCACCCCAGGGCAATAGACCCTCCTCTTCCCCAAATTCCTCCCGGTGGCCTCCTCGGGCCACCGGGGAAGCCCGAGTGGGATACTTTTATAGGAGAAAAATGAAGGCTTCAGGTACACCCCAACTGGAGACTGTTGGCCTGGGGAGGCTGTAGGCAGGCCAGATAGAAGTGGGGCATCCTGTGTGATGGGTTAGGGGGCACACTTGACTTTCTCTGGTTGGTTCCTAGATGGAAGCAGGACAAAAATTAGGGAAGCTGTCAGTTATTCATCAAGTCCTGGCCATTCAGGGCCAATTGTTACAGGGATTATTGTTTGGCTTTCTGAGTTGTTACTAGGAATAATGGCCTGAGTTCCTATAAGCCTGGTTTACATCAGGCTGGCTTCCTGGGCCAGTTACTATAGATAAGGGCCTGGTTTCCTGGGCTGGTAGTGGGCCAGAGTTCTATTTTTATATATGGTCTGGCCATGGTCCGTTTGTATCTTCAGTTTCTTACAACTAAATTCACATTTTCTAGAGAAACTCTGCCCTTAGATACCATACTGGGTACAATGGGAATGAGAAAAATTAGGTTGCATCTTGCCCCAACCACTCGGATGACTGGCATAATGTAAAATCTCAACGCTAAAGTGCTCTACAGTGTTGCGATATTGTTACTACTGGGGAAGCAGAATTGAGCGATGGAAAGAACAGTTTTTTCTTTCAGATTTAGCATCAGCTCATGGAGGCTGTACTAGCTGTGTGAACTTAAATTTAGCAGTTACTTTAACTGAGCCTCAATTTTTCTCCTCTGTAAAATGGGAGACTAGTAATACCTGTGTCAACGTTTTGTTTTGTTTTTTACTTTTTGTTATGAAAAATTTCAGGGCTTCCCTGGTGGCGCAGTGGTTGAGAGTCTGCCTGCCAATGCAGAGGACATGGGTTCGTGCCCTGGTCCGGGAAGATCCCACATGCCACGGAGCTTCTGGGCCCATGAGCCATGGCTGCTGAGCCTGCGCGTCCGGAGCCTGTGCTCCGCAACGGGAGAGGCCACAACAGTGAGAGGCCCGCGTACCACAAAAAAAAAAAAAAAAAAGTTTCAAACACACAAAAGTGGAGAGATTAGAATAACGAAGGCTCATATACCTATTGTCCTGCTTTAATAATGATCAACTTACAGCCAACCTTGTTTCATTAATGACCCCACCAACTTGCCTTACCCTGATTATCTTGAAATTTTGCACATCAAATTATTTCATCTGTAAACGTTGCAGTTTGTATTTCTAAAAGATATTTTAAAAATTTGGTTTACCCTTATTACCCATTTACCTTTTTATTTACACATCAAATAGAGTGAAAATTAATTCTACCCTTAAGAGGGAGCAACAGAACTAATAACACCAGATAGTACTCAGAACGCTAATAGACACACCTGTTTATTCTCTGTAACTCTGAGCCTGTCATTTGCTTTAGAATGTTACTTTTTCATGTCTTGGGCATTTTCTTGATATCTGTGCCTAATCTCCTTCTGTTGGTACTTTCTTCAGTTTCACGGTGTGCCATCTCTGAGCAATACTGAGTGTTTGTTTTACATGCAGCTTTCTCAGCAACAGGGACTACTTAAAAAAAAAAACCACAATGTCAGTATTAATTATTGATTGCTATGTAATGAACTATTCCCAAACTTGGAGGCTTAACATGATAATTATTATCTCTTGTACTTTCCATGGGTCAGGAATTCAGGAGCATCTCGGTTGGGTGGGTCATGCTAGACGTCTCTCACGAGGTTGCTTGGTCTGTAGTCATCTGGAGGTTTGATGGTGCTGGACGATTTACTCCCAAGGTGGGTTGCAAGTTGGTTCCTTTCCACATGGGCCTTTGCACAGGTCTGCTTGAGGGTCCTCACAACATGGCATCTGACTTCCACAAGAAAGAAAGAGCAGTGTGACTTTTGAGGTGGAAGTTGCACACCTTTTATGACCTAAACTTGGAAGTCATATGACATCCCTTCTACCATATTTTACTAATCACATGGGCTAGCCCTGATTCAGATTAGGAGGGGATTACACAATGGCATGAATACCAGGAGCCATCTTAGAGGCTGGCTATGACAATATCATTATCACATCTGAAAAAAAATGTAAAAATAATTTCTTTAAAAAAATTTTTTTTTGA